CATTTCCTATGGGATTGTGGAGGGATTGATGATCATCTGACCAAATGAGGTAGGGTCATCTCGGGCTCTAACTGCTCTTTATACATGTTTTCAAGTACTTTTCTTTCTAGCCTCTGATTTCCTCCCTACTTCCAGAGAACCAGACATTTCCATCTCCTAAATCCTTCCAGATTTAATCAGTACCCCATCAGAAGACAGTTGTGTCTTTTTCCACTGTGCTAAATTAATAAAATTTCTTCTAAAAAGTATGTGTCTTCACATATTGTTTGGGGTTACACATGTCTCTCAATTTTCAATAACAGCTTTATTGAGATATAATTCACATACCCTAAAATTCACCTCTTCGAAGTGGACAGTTCAGTGATTTTTCGTATATTCACAAAGTTGTGCCCATCACCACTATATAATTCAAGGACACTTCCATCACCATCGAAAAGAAACTGTATACCCATCAGCCATCACTAGGCTCATTAGCCATCATTAGCCTTCCCCCGGTCCCTGACAACCACTAGTCTACTTTCCATCTCTATTAGATTTGCCTATTCTGGACATTTCATATAAATGCAACCACACAATATGTGGCCTTTTGTGTCTGGCTTCTTTCACTTAGCACATTTTCAACATCCATTCACGCTGTAGCATATATCAGTACTTCGTTTCTCTTTGGCTACATATTCCTTTGAATGGATCGGCCACATTTTGTTTATCGTTTGATGGACATTTGGGTTGTCTGTTCTTTTGGCTGTTATGAATAATGCTGTTATGAATATTCATGTGCAAGTTTTTTTGTGGACATATGTTTTTAGTTCTCTTGGGTATATGCATATGAATGAAATTGTTGGTTCATATTGTAACTCAGTGTTTAAAATCTTGAATGCTGTTATGAATATTCATGTGCAAGTTTTTTTGTGGACATATGTTTTTAGTTCTCATGGGTATATGCATATGAATGAAATTGTTGGTTCATATTGTAACTCAGTGTTTAAAATCTTGAGGAACTGCCCAGCTGTTTTACAAAGTGGCTGTATCATTTTACATTCCCACCAGCAATGTATGGGTAAATTGGTAAAAAACCAAAAACAACAACAAACAAAAAAAACCCAAATTTTCACCTCTTAACCGTCACTTGTTATTGCTTGTCTTTTTAATTATAGCCATCTTGCTGGTGCTATAGATTTTTCTTAAAATGAAGTTTGTGTTTCAGTTTTTTGTGCTCTGTGTTGTTGTGGGTGATTTTCTGGAGGGGCAGAATTTTTTACTACCTTGAAATTAGAAGCCCTAGAGATTTTAACTTTTTCAATTTGGCTGATAATATGTTGTCAGTGGTGATATTCTGCCTAGATCTCATCTCGGAGTGTCTCTGGGATGTTCCTTTTTTTTTTTTGGTGGCTGGCTGGTAAGGGGATCCGAACCCTTGACCTTGGTGTTATCAGCACTGCACTCTAACCAAGTGAGCTAACCAGCCAGCCCTTTCTCTTTTTTAAATCAACTTTATTGGGATATAATTTACCTCATAAGATGCACACATTTTAAAAGTATGATTTTATAAATTTTGACAAATATCTACCCTTATATAATCCCCATCTCACGAAAATATTAGAATCACCCAAGAAAATTCTCTTTTGCCTCTTTGCATTTCTTCCCAATCACCCACTCTGCTTTGCCACAGACCTGACATAAAAGCTAAACTACAATACTTCCAGAATAAAATATGGGAGAAAAATATCATGACCTTGAGATAGGCAAAGATTTCTTAGGGGGGAGGAAAAAAAAAACTAACCAAAGAAAAAAAGAAATTTTACTAAAATTGAATGTATATGCTCTTGACTTTGGTTTCTGGTTGGCCTGAAAGGCGCTTGGTAGTCATTACTCCATCCTAACCTAACAACAAGAACAAAGTTCAACTAACTAACCACTCCTTTTAGATCCAACAGAGAACTGATGTCATAGGGCAAAAAACTACTGCCCCACAAACTGGGGAGACAGACAGGCAGATACTGACAATCACAACTTACTGGAGTAGAAGTCCAAGAACGAAACCCATGGGAACCAGTACTAGGCTAGGAAAACTTAAAACACTAATTAGGGAATTGCTGGCAGCTCAGTGTGGACAAGTTTGAGAGTTAAAAACACCAGGGGCCTGGCCCACTCTCAGGAGGTGACCCACACTTTCTTGAATTTTACCTTCAGGAGCCCTACCAGGTTCTCGCAGGGAAGATCAATGCCTTTGCAATTCCGGCACGGGGAAGGGAGAAGTAGCCATTTTGAAATAATCCCAGAGAATTCTATTCTTTCTAGTAAAGTTTGCCCTCAAGAGAGACTATTCTACCAGACTCTAAGTGACTTGGGAAAAGGGAAATACTGAACCGCAGCCTCCTTTAGCCTTCCTGACCCATGTGAAGGAGGGCAAACCGGCAAGCACTTGTGAAGGTCACACCCCAGCACGACAGGCTTACTGAGAGACTGAGACCTAGTCATAGAGAACGCTTCCTCTCCCCACACCTTGCACCACATCAGTAGGCCTGTACAACAGGGAGACAAAACCACGCACACCAGAGAAAAGGTAGCCCGGCAGCTATCACTACAACAGACGGTGACCATTGCATTCGATCAGGTGCCACACTAATTTGATTTATCTCCTTGCTGATGATGTTAACCTTGACCACTTGATTAAGGTGGTATGTTTTAGGCTTCTTCACTTTAAACTTCTTTACACTTAGTCATTGAAAACTATTCTGTAGGGCCGAGCCCGTGGCACACTCGGGAGAGTGCGGCGCTGGGAGCGAAGCGACGCTCCCGCTGCGGGTTCAGATCCTATATAGGAATGACCGGTGCACTCACTGGCTGAGCGCGGTGTGAGCGACACCACACCAAGGGTTGCGATCCCCTTACCGGTCACGAAGAAAAAAAAAAAAAAGAAAACTATTCTGTAGTGAAATACTTTGAAACTATGTAAATATTCCATTCCTTATCAAGCTTTCAATTTATTCAGTTACTTAGTATGGACTTATGGTTTCCATTTTTTATTCAGTGGGTTATAATTTGTTATTATCATTACCTGTTTTGGAGCTCAAATTTTCCATGATTTGTCTACTGGGAGCCCCTCAAAGTTGGCTTCTCTATTCTTTTGACATGACCTCATTATTCTTTGAGGATTTCCTTGCTTTCCGGTATACGATACTCCAGGCTTATCTCGTATCTTTCCTACCCCAGTCCTGGAATGAGCCATTTCA